TCAGTGCTCCTAGTGAAAACCTTTCACTATGTTAAGATATTGAACTAATAACATGACTGCGACTACAGCAGAAACACGTAGTAAAACTCACCTTTCCAAGTGGCCCAAAGACAGGGCCCCTGTTTGCGGACGTCGAAGTTCCACCAGTATTGCTGGCGCTTGTTTCTGGCGGCTCTGACGGGATCTTACAAAATAAAACGTAATCACATCTAAAACGTAATCACATCGAAACAGAGATAGCTCTTCCGACCACATACCTTTGGACGAGCCTTCGCAATGACTGTTTCCACAGTTTTCGCTACTTGTTCAAAATTCGCATCATCTGCGACCTCATCAATTTCAAACATAGTGATGGGAATAATTCCAGTGAGAGGCTTATGCCCAGGCAGCATAGGCAGTTCGTCTTTTAACGTCCACCCGCGCGGGATTTTACCGATCCCTAGGTTGCCTCAACAGAAAAACTTCACGAGCTCTATCGGGGAAAAGCAGATGATAGTGACATAGAAAGGAAGAAAGTTATATGCTCTGACAATTTTTTTGAGGAATTCGTCTTTTCCCCGACTTCCATTTACAACCGTAAAAGTATTCATGCCGTTGTTCATAGTGATACTCTGAATTTACTAGCTTCATGTACGACCTAGCAGCTAGAACAAATTCAAGAGCTGCCTCTGTTTAAGAAAAGGCTTTCAAAACGGGTGACCCTATTCTGCTTTTCAGCTTATTCAAGCTTTATGTCAGGCCAGTTTCAGGGTATTGTTCGCCTATCTGGTCTCCATACAAAGACAGTAATTGATGTGATTGAACGAGTACAAAAAAGTTTCACTCATAGTTCCACTTATCGCTGCTACATGCGCGAGGGTATAGTTCCTGGGTCCTTATCCTACTATATTTGATCCAATAAGTTTGCCTCTTGGTGTGGTGTGTACGTGTGTGTTTGACCGGAACTTCATAACTCTCTTTGATTTAGCCATGGAGAGCGGAAATTGATAAGTGATGTAGCTGGTCCGACTGGGACATTATTGGTGGGTAGCGGTATTGGTGTTGCGTTGGTTCCAGGAACACTAGTGGTGGATGGTAGAAAGTTTTAAGTACTGATAAGATCCGAAAAAGGGAATAAGAACCCAAGCGTCGTCTGGCTCATACCGCCTGCCGCA